GAGGTAAAGGCTTCTTTTCCTGGCTGACAAATGTATCCCATTTCACCTTGTCACAGCCGCCTAGTTCCTTCACTTTCTGTAAACAACTTTCCAAGTACTCTACTGGGTCTTCAGGCTTAGAACACATCAGTCCATTCAAAAGGCTCTGAAATACAATAAAATGTTTTAAAATCGCCTTTGTTAAAATAGTGTATGCCCCATCTCTAAATTCCTGGTTGTTTTTGTTCTTTGCATTTGTCTTTTAATAAATACTTAAGAGTTGAAGTTATTGTCTGGTTAAGACAATTCCTTAAATTCTTGACCAATTAGTTTTCAGCTGAGCATTCTGGGCTTTTTAAATGATGAAGGCAACTATCTAGCTTAAAATGGAACAGTTCTATTAAAGGCTCCAGACTGCAGTTTCTTCCTGTATAAAATAGGAGTAATAATACCTACCTCAGAGGGTTCTTTAAGGACTAAAAACTAAATATTTGTCAAATTCATAGTAAGTGCCTGGCACATAGTAAGGGCTCAATAAATGTTGTTGGTAGTTTTAGTTAATATTATTATCATTATGAGATAATGTCCCCTGAGCCCTCAGGTTGGCTTATGGAGCTCTTCTTCTATGTTCTGAAGGTACACAGAAAAAGGAAACTTACCTGTCGTTTATACTGAAATCATCAGTGTACATGCTAGTCTCCTTATTTAAACTATAAGCCTTTCAACAACACAGTGTTGGTCTTGTTTATTTTTCAATCTCCTGCCCCTAACATATTCTCTGATCATAGTAGGTGCATATTGAACAGTTTTCTAATTAGGAGAAACACTTCACTGAAAACATGAAGTCTGAGACTCAAAAAAATGTTATTTGATATATAATAAGTCACTATAATAAGCAGAGATTGCAGAGGGGGAGAAAAAGCACGATCCTGTATTGCTTTTTTCTTTTCCTAGTGTCTGATGTGTCGCATGTACTAATTTCTAAAAATGCCACCACTTTGGAAATGTTGGCTCCTAGAAACTAGACTGGTGTGAAAAATATTTTCCATTAGAGTATTTCATGGAAAAAGCACTGGGGATTATGATAACCAATGTACATTATTAATGCCTAAAACACCCACCCTTTAAAAGGCTGAAATCTTTCCTAAGTACAGTATTCTATTTTCAAATTATTCTGGTGCAATTTGCTCAAAATGGTAGGCAATTCTTACTACGTACATTTTCTCTAAATAGTGTGGCTAGAGTGCTCAATCAAAAAAGTTCGAGTGCAGACGGAGGGGAAAAAACTAACGTGGGCATCCACATCCAGCTTGTGTGTCAAAACCTGTGACACACACACACACACACACACACACACACACGCGCGCTGTGTTTAACTTTCTCATGTCCCATGTTAATTTGGTTAACTGTGGCAATGCTTACTCGGTGTCTCTGCAGGCATTAGCTTACCCACTATACTCTCATTTCTATACAGCATTATTATCCTCACTTTATAGAATAGGAAATTGTGGATCAGAAAGGTTAATGAGTTGATCAAGGTTCCTCATCTAGAAACGTCTAGGCCCAGGATTCCAACTCAATGTTTCTGATTAAAAAGCCCATATAGTCCGCTCTCCACATCTTGCAAAAATATGATGTGGGATGAAGAGAAATGCCAGATTACCTGTGCCCCATGCATAATCCAACTACAATATGAATCATTCAAGATTTTGTCTTTTATTTTTTATCCTTATTATGACCTAAAATGGATAAACTTACTCAATGAAGGTTTTTGTTTGTTTGTTTTTACTTGAAAATATACATTTCCAGCCTCTTTCAACAAAACTGATTCCCTTAAGGGTATTGCTTTTAGAAGAGGGGCGGGGATGAGTTCTACTCATTTATGGATAATTTAAATCCTTTCTTTTAGTAGCCAGCCACCATCACAGATCAGATCTAAGATAATCAGCAAACATTATTATTCTGTCTCTTTGAGTTAATTGTTTGACAGATATCTAATTGTTAAACTTTGTTACCTAGAAATTCTGTGTACCTGGATTGTGGTTTTGAGACAAAAAATTCATTTTGGAAACTTAGAGCATTTGGTATTGCTGTCTACACTCATCACATGGAGAAGTGCCGTGTTTTACTTCACTCACTGCTGAGCCCAACACAGTTCTTTTCACTGGAAGGCCTTTGGAGGTCACCAGCAAGCAGTCTTCTCCCATTGCCCAGGATTGCATTTAAGTACACTGTACTACCGCATTTCTCCTAAGTGAGTTACTTCCTTTTCTGGGTGTGCATTATCTTAAGATGTCCAATTCACATGCAGAGAAGACAAGGAATGAAAAGAATAACACCTGAACAACCAAAAAAAAAAAAAAACCCACAAAAAAACCAAAACAACAACAACACAAAACCCTGCCATTACTTATTTGCAGATACAGTGAAAATTTTCAGGAACAAACTGTCAAAATTCTCTGTGGCTACTTTCCACCAAGGAGGAAAAATAGTACCCACATTTATTTATAAGAAAAAGATGTCTTATTAACCAGAATTTTACAAACAGGTAGCTCTCCTGCAGTGATTCTTTTGGAAGTGTAGGAATGAAATTGATCTCAGTAGCAGTACTTATGACAAAAACCTTCATCTCCATATTTACTTTTTGAAAATTAAAAAAGAAAAAGAAAAACTCTTAGCAGGAAACCTACATACCCCCAAGACCTGTCCTTACACATTACCTCCTGATGATTTTCAAACACAAGTAACACGCTTGCTAGATTTGGGGCTTCACATACCAGACTTGTGCTAAGTAGCAGGTGGTTTGCCTGAAAATCTTGGCTTCAGATGAACCTTAAAAAAGGTGGCTTACAGAGGTGAACAAAAAATGAAGATCTGTAATGATGGTAGCCAATTTTAAAGATAATTTGGAAAAATAGGGACAAAATTCTTCTCCCAAGTGGTCTTTTAAAATTTCTTTTGACAGGAGAAACCCCTCCAAACAGAAAAAAAAGGGCAACTCAAGACCATTAGTTTACTCTATCAGTCTATATAGTCATCATCTTAAAGGGGGAGAGGGGTAAGGTGTACAGTGAACGGATTTCTCCTTTCAGGGTTCTCTCTATGGAGCTTGGCTCGGATCCATTCTTTTTTCTTTTTTACCCTAAACAAGTATTTTAAAATTCAAATATGGAGAGAAGGAAGCCACCCGATCCGTGACGGAGACTGCGGTTTAGAACTAACCAAGGTTCCTGTAGTTCCTCAAGCCTCCTCTTCCACATTCTCCAAGTGCCCTCACTGCCCGGCCCCAGACGCAGATGCCGCCGTGTTGCGGTGTGAAGACAGAGCAACAGGAGACACGCCCGCCTCCCCATCCCTCTCCGATCCGCATTCTCTAGGTGAGGGCTGGCGGGGCAGGCGACAAAGAGAACCCTCCCTCCCAAGGCGACAGGAAAACGTGCTCAGGAGTTCATTCACCGAAAGCGCAGAGCAGCGCTGGCGGCCTGCCACCCTGGAGGTAGCGCTGCACTCGATGGGTTTGGATTTGTTTCTGCATCTTCATCCCTCTCCTCCAAGCTGTCCCCGGCGAGGGCTGCTGGCGTCCACACTTTGCCTTCACCGCGGGGACCCCCGACCCCGACCCTAGGTGTGCGGAGGGGTTAGGGCTCTAGTACCCCCTTCCCTCAGTGTCCAGACCCAGAGCGACGTGGGCGCCAGCGTGCCCACCTGGCCTGATCCTCGCGTCCCGAGAGCGCGGCCGGCCGCTGCCCGAGCCCACCTGGGCGCCCACTTCCGAGGGCTGCAGGCTGCTGCCAGACCCGCTGGAAGACTGGAACTTGATCTGGGAAATGCGGGCTTCCGAGCCCAGCCTAGGGACAAGGACCCCGGCAGTCCCCGGGAAAGGCGGCTACCTCCGGGCGGGCGCGCGGGCGGGCGAGCTTGTCGGTCCCTTCACTTCCCTGCCCCGCGTCGGCAACGTGGGACGGGGAGCGGCTTCCTCACCCCAAACCCCCCAAACGCCCTTCCCGCCCTTCCTCACCCTCCGCCCCTCTGCCAGCCTCAGCCCCTTACCTCGAAAAGGAGAGGGATCTCCCTCCGGGCCAGATACTCCTTAGCATCGTTGGTGTTCATGGCTGTGCCGCGCGTGCCTGGGGCGCAGGCGGGGAGGCTCCGGGGATGCGGCGCCCTGGGCTGAGGCTGAAGGGGTCCGCGCCGGGCACCGTGCAGCCCCCGCTCTCACGCGCAAACACTCGCTCAGCTTTGCCCTCTCAGCCCAGGGCCCCCTCGCCTTGCCCCGGGGGGGGTGGTCTCCGCGCTCCCGCCACCCCCGCCTTGGTTCCGGCGCCCGCACCCAGGCTGCCGGCTGGGAGCAGCGGCTTCCCGGGTTCCCAGGCAGCGCGGCTGCCAGGGGAGGGGCGGAGGGAGTGGAGGAGGGAGGACGGAGAAGCGGACGCGAGGCAGCAGCCCGCCCGCCTCTCCGGCTCAGCGCGCGCTGCTCTGCCCCTCCCCAGCCGGGTCCGCCTCTGCGGTCACTCAGGCTGCGCGGGAGGCGGGAGGCGGGCGCAGGGTGCGGGGGTGGGCGCCGGCGCGCGCGCTGGGGGCTCGCAGTCACACCCCTCCGGGTCGCCCGGGGTACGCCCTAACCTGGGGCCAGGTGGCCAGAGGAACAGAGTCGGGGGCTCATAGAACCTGCGACCTTTTCACTTCTCCATTCCCACCCACACGGTTACTCATGCGTCCCTAAGGAACTCCCAGGAAGAAACCGAATTGTCACAGAATTTATGATTTAGTCCTAAGATTACGATCTTTCATAATGAAAAGCTGGGGGGTAAGGCGGAAAGAGGGCTTTGAGGTGTGGAAGCCATCTCCTTAAAATAAGTTTTAGATCTTGGGTATTTCTATCCTTCGGGAAAGTTTTGCTAGCTGGCTTCGATTTTTTTCCGTCTGGATCACAAATTCTCACAGATTTCAGTATGAGGCCTTAGAGTAGCCTGACCTATTCACTAACAGAAAGATTACTAAGCAGCCAACTAGTAACTTATCTCCAGAGAGAGGAATGGGAAGATAGAGGAGAGAAGTGGGTGGTGGTGGGAAGCTGGTGAAATTCAAAACGTGACTAGCAGGTGGGGTGGGTGGCATCGTTAATTAGATATGAGGAATATGCACCCAGTGGGCCATCAATCACTCCAGGATGAGTATGGGTGGGTGCATTAAGGCAGCAATGTAGGTGAAGGATCTTCTTACTATCAAAGGGTAGCCACTTCTTCCTATCTCCCAAGATGACTCATTTCCTCTATTAAAATATCTTTTCATTGCCTGTTTGAAAGGTGGCCCATGGCACACTGAGACTATGATCCTTAACTGTGTGCAAGGCCTGACTCTGTGGGAGGGTGTGTGAGAGAAAGGGAGGCTCTGATAGGAGCTGACATCTGGGGACTGGCCAGAGGGAGAAGCAATATTGCAACTGTTTCCAAAATATCAGTGTCTGATTGTCCATTACAGATCTTTCCTTGGTTCTACTTCTCCTCCCGCAAACATCTGCTTTTCAAGCCTTCGCTGTAGCTGCATTTTTGTTTTGCCCAAGGGAGGAAATTCAAGAATTAATTGAGTTTTGTAAAGTAAATGAAATTTTTCTGAGCACTTGTGAAACCATGTGTCAAGTGGTAGTCTTAAATGGGGCAGGTGTTCCAGTTCCAGGGAAATTGGTTTCTGCCCTCAGAATACGCCACATCACTTACAGGCCCACCTTCCATTTTTTGACTCACGGTGGTGGTGAACATACTGTCTTTTCCCTAGGCAACAGTGCTTGACAAGTACCAGCGTCCATGGCATGAAGGCTTATTTTGTGAACAGGCACAGCTGACGTGAAGCACCTAGGACTGAAGAGGCCACTTTCTGCAGGACCTGTCAAGGTCATCCTTTTCAGAAAAGAATCTGGCAGAGCTCAGCTCACGTCCTCCATCCTGGGAAGAAACGTAACCTAAACGCACGTTAGTGTGGTCGGGCAAGGATGGCAACTTGCTTGGATAAAGAGAGTACATAAGAATGACTGCATTGCACTACATATTATAGGTAGCCGGAAAAACATAGCAACTGGAGATATGGCAGACTTTCAGGTAGCCTTATGTACTGGCAATCAGTACTTTTTGGTGTGTTCCAGCTGTATGAAGGAGGCAAGATGTTCATAATGACTTTTGCAAAGGAGGTGTGGCCGGCTAGGGGAAAGAGCTACATGATGCTCAGGAGACAGGCTGACGGTTTGGAAGAGAGGAAAGAGAAAGGACAAGGAACAACAAATACATCCTTGCCATGAGAAAGCTGGCCCATTAGTCCCTGCTATGAAGTGCTAAGGCTGTGTATATAAAGGGTTCATGGCCCTTTGTTCTTTGTTTACTTGGGGGTGGATTCCTGCACGTGCTAACAAATCAGGATGGCTACTGCATGTCTGGTGTCACTACATAGAGTTTCTTCTGCTCCCACGTTGGGTTCTAAGATACAGCAGTAAATAAGACAGACATGATCCCTGCTGTCAAGAGCTTACATTCTACTGGAGAGTATGTGTAATGAGCAAATAAAAATGCATAAACAACATCAGATAGAGATAAATGGTAGGCAAACATTTAAAATACCCAACCAAAGGCATAAATAAAAACATATTAGATAGTGATTGATCGAATGATGAAAATCAAACAGACCTAATTGTTTATTTGAAGCAAGGAAGCAGAGTTCAGATTTGTCTGCCGGAAGTGGCAGAGCAAGTGGGAATGGGGATAACCGTTGGGAAAATAACTTAGAACTTTTCAAGGGTCCAGAAGAGGAGGCCCTTGGTGGGAATGTTTCTCCGGTTGATTACCTAAGAGGGCTCGCTGCTGACACACAAGCTAGGTCTCAGCAAAGGGTGAACATACTCTGTACCCTACTAATCAAGTGTCTGTTGGTAGGAACCATTCACTCCATCCACACAAAGAAGGCTCAAGGGCTCTATGCCCGGAGCAGCCCTTTCCAAATCCCAAAGAAGGCTGGAGCCTATGCTTATTCCCGTCCTCATCCACTCCTAACAGATACTTATGCCATCTGTAATTTCACGGGGGCCTACAGAAAATTTCAGCAGTGAAGTGCAAAATATTTGTCATGTTGCAGCTCCTTGCCCCCGGAGAGGAGCCTAATGGGATCAGCCATAGGCACTGGTGTGGATAGTTAGGACGTGATGACAAGTTTGGCCATAGCGCAAGGTAAAAATGTATTGTGTGTTTGTTATGGGTCAAGGCCTGTGATAAACACTCTATAAAGTATATCACAGAGCTATATATACGTCATCTTTAATTCTTAATCTGTAAAATATGTATTATTCTCATTATATAAAATGAAATAGCTCAGACTCAGAGAGTCTTATTTCAAGGTAATACCAACAGTGTTAGTTCAACTGCAAAACCCTATGCGACCTCTTCCCTTAGGGCAGCAGCATCATAATGGCTTTCAAGTTGATGAGGTCCTGCAACAATATTCTTTGTACCTTTGGGTGTTTTCTAAGGGTCCTTGCATTCTCCCTTTCCTTTTTCCTTTCCTTTCTCCCTCCCTTCCTTCCTTCCTTCCTTCCCTCCTTCCTTCCTTCCTTCCTTCCGTCCTTCCTTCCTTTTTTCAGCAGATGTCATTTTGTATTTGGGCTGTGTGTGTTATTGAAAACACAAGCATAACAAAACATGTATAAGAACAAGTTTATCTCAGTAGATTTTCTAATTGTTCAGGGTTCTTTTTGGTTTGAAGTTTTTGCTTGATTCAGAGATTGAACAGAAAACACATCATTCCTATTTATTGAATCCTTGAGTGTTGAATTTTTCTCATTCAGCACAAAAAAACACACACAATATCACCCTCCAAATTACTCTATTTCCCTCATTAATTGGCCACCTATTGGGCCACTTGTATATTCTGGGCAATTTGTCAATATTTTGTATACCCAGAAAAAAAACCCTAAACCCTCTAAGACCTTCAATATACATCTATATTGTCCTGATAAATACCCCCCCTTATTTACATGTATTTGTTGTAGAAGGTCTTTCTGAGGCTTTTACTTTTTTGTGAGTGTGGTGTGTACAAACTGATCTGTGAAATCCAGGGTGACTGCAGGCTGAAATAATGGTGTATAACACAATTCTTTGGCCAAAGCAGATTTTTTCCCAATGATCTATTTCCCGACACGAGCTGAAGAGCTGAGAGCCAGACACTGGAATTCTGGATCTCAAAGACCTCTAGGAATTCTTGAGTCAGAGGGGGTTAGAGACTAAAAGATTTTAAACTCTCCCCTAAAGTCTGAAAGCATTAAGAAAATCTCCATCTATGTAATAACATATACTAAGAATAGCTAAGATTTGGAAAATCCTATTTATTTACTTATCTATTCATTAATGTATGCATTCATTAATCAAACAATTATGAAATAACCTTTTAGATACTAGGCCTGTGTTTGGAGCTGGGAATATAAAGAACAAGACTAAAGGGGTTCACTGTCTATAGAAAGAGAGGGACTTGTAATAATTAAGTACAGATAAATGTAATAATCCTATCTAATAAAAGAGAAACATGGTAATTAGCATACAACCGCTACCCTTCCCATTGGCTAATCAGGGTGATATGCAAATTAACTGCCAGCCAAGATGGCGGCCGGCAGCCAGGCAGCTTGAAACTAACACGAGGTTTTCTTGCTTCAGTGACGGAGGAAACCAACGTTCCCCGCCTGCCTTGCCGGCCTCTGAGCCTGCAGTTTGAACCA